CAAAACCTGTCTGCTTTCAAAACAAATATTTAATTAAAATGAGAGGTCAGTTCGTGAGTTCAGGGGTAAAACAGAAAAATATTCACAATCCTATGAGCAAGAATCGAAAAAGGAGTTTCCAGAATGGTTGCAAAGTACTTTGAAAGAGCGACTAGTATGCATATTGTAGAAGTTGTAATATATAGTCAACGCCAAACAAAGTGGCGTGCACGTCATCACGATAAAAATTCCCCGACCTAATGCCTAGGTTTCTATCACAAACAATTGCTCTATTGCAGTTTCATATTAATGTGATATATAAATTGTAAAATGGTCATTACTCTCTTATTATGGTTAATAGTCATATAAACATTGTTATTAAATATCACATAAGTTGCTTTCTGATAAATTTAGACGCATTATGCGAAATAAAATGTTTTGCAAACGCTCCAATCACTTATCGACATGTAAACGCACTAAACCGATTTCGCAGCGTTGACACATTGTCACCTTGAAACTTATTTAAACTGGGAACTGACATTTGTATTAATTTTGACACTGAATCAATTTGTGGCATTTCAAATCTTTATAAATCCTTTGCCCCGCATACTGTAAATCAACAACTGCTTGTTTCAAAACAAAATTATTCATTTTACGAGTAGATAAAGGCAATTTTGGTATATAAAGATGCCCAAACAGTTAAATAGTCGGTGTAAGGAACTCGTGGCCTCGTTAATGCACTACTTTGAGCAAGAAAGGGACAACAACGGGCCTTTGTTGCCTTTAAATGCTGTTCAAGAGGTAGGTTACTAATAATTATATGTAATGTATATTAATAATAGTGAAATTTTATTTCATTTTTTGTAGCGTGTTGCTGCTGCTTTAAAAATTAGTTTAAGGACAGTAAGTCGTATTTCCGAGGGTGTGAAAAGTGATGCAAATTTAGAATCGCCCAAGAAAAAGCGGAGTTATATTAAACGTGTAACCAACACAGCGACATTGGATACAAGTGCCATTCGAGAAGTGATCTATAATATGTATCACAAAAGTAAGATCTTATTATAATAACTTATCAGAAATTTGCATTAATTTGTTAACTAAATTATAATGTCATATTACACATGGTTTCAGAAGAACAAGTTACGATACAAACTTTATGGTCTCGATTAAGAGATAGGGCATTATTTGATGGTAGTGCCACGTCTTCAAGGCGGTTGCTTAGAGATCTTGGATTTAAGTGGCTTAAGGACAATCCGCGACGAGGGCTCATGGAACTACCAAGTATAGCTTTGAAAAGGGTGGAATTTCTAAGGCAATACAATCAAGCCAAGTTTGAGGCCTCATACCAGTTTGTCTTCCTCGATGAAACTTGATATTTCAAAATGGGACCATAGGTCGCTCTTGGCAAAATGGAAACCAAAAAAGCGTGAAAGCTATTAAAACAGATGGTAAAAGGTATGTACTTTTACACAATTTGCACTATAAAATTTAAAACTAATATATTTTAGATACATTATATTACATGCTGGAAATGAAAATGGGTTTATTGAGGGTAGTGAAGCGATATTTTCTTCGAAAACAAAATTGAGCGATTACCATGGAGAGATGAACCAGGACAATTTTTGAAATGGTTTCAACATCAGTTATTAGAAAAATTGGAGAGTCCATCTATGATTATACTGGATAACGCCCCTTATCACAGCATGATATTGAACAAAGTGCCCAACAATGCATGGACAAAAAAAAATATCCAAGAGTGGTTGACAAATCAAAACATACCATTTTTAAACACAATGTTTAAAACAGAGCTATTGAGTATTGTTGCTCGGTACATAATGCTTCTTAATTATATATATTTTGGTCGACAGTTTATATTTCTTTTGTTTATTCCTATTCTTAAAATAACTGCTTTTTTAGAAACAAACCACCTAAAATATACGTGATTGATGAATTGGCGGAACAACATGGGCACAAAGTTCTTCGTCTGCCCCCTTACCATTGTATATTTAACCCTATTGAGTTAATTTGGGGCATAGCAAAAGGTTACTATAACAGACATATTGGTAGAGATGGTAACAGTGAAAAAGACTGTTTGGATATGTGGAACGAGGCTCTACAAACGGTTACCCCAGACATGTGGAAAAATAGTGTTCGACATACTGAGCAAGAAATTTTTAAATGGTATGAAAGAGAACGAATTTTTGATCGACCAGACATCGAACCTTTAATAATCAACTTTGAGAGTGATGAAGATTCAGATTCAGACAGCGCTGAAGAAAGAAACTCCGACTAACTTTATTGTACAGAAAAAGCTTACACCAGTAGCTTACCTAATTTTAGAATGCATTTTTCTGTATGAATTCTGTAAAATAAATACCATGCATAAAATTTGGAGGACCCCATTTGGATTTTTATTCAGTACCTTTAAGCTATCAATTAAATATGGTAGTTTCATAGTGTCATCTGATCAATAATTGTCATACTTAATGATTATGCAAGTACAGATCTATAATTTTATTACACTATTATTTTTGTTCTCATTTGAGGTTAATATTGCTTATAAACCTAGATATGTAAATAATAAATTTTATTATTTTACAAAAAGTTTGGCAACAATGTAAATTTTTCAACACACCCACCTTGATGACGTGCACGCCACTTTGTTTGGCGTTGACTATAGAACTATGACCTCAAAAAAAACATGTTGTGTGCGCGCCCAATACAATAACAGACGTTTTTCATGACTCAAAGGTCCTTGATCTACCACTGATCTTGGGACAGCATTTTCCTTATACCGAATTCAACGACACTATTTACCGATTCCGTTCTATTGCCGGTTCGGCAACACTGCAGATGTGCAGATTACTTTAAACGCAATTGATATCCCAGACGTGTTATAATAATAGAAATAACAAGAAGATAAAACAATGTTTGGAGATATATTTTCATAAATAGGTATTTTTTGATTCTTATAATATCTAGACGATGAATAATAGGTGGTTGCGGATACAAATATCGATGTTTTAGAACCCAGAAATGCAGAATGTGCTGTTTGTTTACATTTGGTGTGGATTTCTAGACCATAAATTGGCAAAAATTGTTTTTGATGTAACAAAAGATGATGAACCAGTTGGTTTTATATCCTTTTTTTTTGGCAAAATAACAAAAATCGGTACATTGCTACAGGTACGTATTATGTACAACATCCTGTACGTGATATGCAGACAATACTAGATTGCCATGCATGAACAGTCGTTAAAAACAGTGAAAACATCCTACCAAAAATAATAGCTAGAAAATCGGCCAATTTTCATTGGTCCATTTAAATAACTGACCGTCTTTTTTGAAATGATAAAAATTTGAAATTCTATGAAGGTTATCCTAATTCTAAAGCACAAAGATATAATATTACATCTATAATGTACCCTTATTTATAAGGCAGCCGTTTTTACACGACTTTATTCAACATTTCAATAGAAATCACTGATATATTATACAGGGTGGGGCAAAAGTCGCGAAGGGATTTGAAAAATTAATAACTTTTTTAAATTTTAATTTTGATTTTTTTCCCTAACACAAAACTAAAATGCAATGTTTGGAGTTTGTTTACAATTTAAGTGTGAAAGATTACATCACGCAAATGACCGCCATTTTCAGCCTCGCAAAGTGCAGCTCTTGCAAGAGCATTTTCCATTACCCGAGTCAGAATATCTGGCCCCAAAGCACTTACTTCTGCTCGAATATTATCTTTTAGTTGCTGCAGGGTTGTGGGTTTATTAATATACACTTTTCCTTTCAGATATCCCCAAAGGAAATAATCAGGGGCTGTTAAGTCCGGCGAGCGGGCGGGCCAATTGAATCCTGAATTTCTCGAAATTAAACGTTCGCCAAAAATCTGCCTTAGAAGGTGCATAGTGGCTCGAGCAGTATGCGCAGTGGCTCCATCTTGTTGGAAAGTCATCGTTTGATTGTCAGCAAGAGCTGGTCTTAAGAAATTTTGAATCATATCACGATATCGGTCGCCATCTACAGATACAGCATTCCCATCGTGGTCTTCGAAGAAGAATGGTCCAATAATTCGTTGAGACGTAACTGCCCACCATACTGTACATTTAAGCGGATGTAATTGCCTTTGATGAACCACCCTTGGGTTCTCGGTACCCCATATTCTGCAGTTCTGCTTATTTACGAAGCCATTCAAATGAAAATGGGCTTCATCGCTCATGATCAGTGAATGAATAAATTCATTATCTTCTCGAGCCATTCTTTGCAAGCGAACTGCATAAGTTAGTCGTTCTTGAAAATCTGCTGGTTTTAGTTCTTGCACTAGCTGCACTTTATATGGAAACAGATGTAAATTTCCTCTTAATATTCTGCGTAAAGACCTTTGAGACATCTGCAGCTCAGCAGAACGTCTTCGGGTTGAGGTTTCCGGATTCTCCTGAACACTCTCCTGAACGCGTTGAATGTTCCCTTCATTTCTTGCGGAACGTGGCCTTCCGCTTCGTGGGAGATCCATAACTGTGCCTTGTTGCTGAAATCGTGCCACTAAGCGTCGAATCATTGATTCAGAGGGCGAATTCCGCAAATTGAAATGACGACGATATGCTCGTTGAGTTTGAATTATTGAATGGTGATATTCAAAATAAAATTCTATAAGTTTGGTTCGTTGATTGAGGTTGTAACGCTCCATAATTAATCTCCAGGATTTATTTTACACGGTCCTGAAAAAAAAAATGAAAACAAAATAAATTTAAAAAAGTTATTAATTTTTCAAATCCCTTCGTGACTTTTGCCCCACCCTGTATATAGGTGTTTTCCCATTGGTCCAAGGGACCGTTAAATATCAATGTTAGTCAAGTTGGCCCGTAGTATCTTAAATAAGGCTTTACAAAATCGCTGTATTACAACAGTAACCCTAGTTCGAGCAGTAGATTTCAGGTGGTGATGCAACCGTGCATACGTGTATCTAAGTTGCGCCTCATCAGTTAGATGACGTTTGTCATCTTGGTCACCCTTACGTTCGTGTACCAACACTTCCTCTTCCACAGTAACAATAGGTCCAGCATCGCGCAGCATGTGCAGATGAAACAAAACAACATCAGAGACGCAAACGCCTTTGTTGGTATGACATCACAATCCATTTCCGAACACTTGATTAACGATGTGGCTGCCAGAAAAGACGAGACCTGCCAACCATTGTTCCGAACATCGCTTAAGCATAATTATTAAATATTTTATTTTAGTCCGGGATCTCACGTAGCTGTTGTCAGTTTATATTTTTTGGGAGGTGCTCGAGGTGGCCGAAAAGAAGCCATACAACCTAGTGGCTGCCGGTTAAGGACAAATTCAGCTTTTGATAATAATTTCGGTAACCCAGCGATGAGTAGTAACATTATTTCTCTCCAATTCGGATCATACTTAGTATTAAAAACCACCATAGATTGCTTACATATGAAGATATTTGCGAAACACATGGAAGGCATAAATATAAAATATATATTGTCATTGTTATTCAGTTCTGTACTTTGAAATAGTCCATCATGGTGACCGAAACGTCATAATATAGCTGTTACGGGTAAAGTTAGAATAATGATTAAACATAGGTTTACCCGGGTAAACTGCACAATACCCAGAAAAAGTGGTTAATGTCCAAAATAGTATTGAAATTTTACATATTTTGAACTTTACCCGGGTAAAACGCGATTTATCCGCTTTAGGGTGGTTAAAGTTGGATGTAGAAATTATTATTGCATCATCTTTCACCACGTGCAGTTCTAAAATGGCAACCGAAGAAAGCGAACGCGTGCGTTTAGCACAGCGTTTTTATGAAGTTTTCAATGAGTTGGTGTTTTCAAAAAGTGCAAACAGTTCTTATTTTAATAATAACAATACCAAGAAATGTTAGAATCAGTCAAGTTGGCAAAAAATCCTAAAACTAACTACTCTACAATATCGACGGTTAAAGAGGTTTGACATATGTTCTGTGAGAGGCGTTGAAAAGCTTATTTCTCGTGTATCATCAGGTGAACCTAGCATAAAATATTATGTAACAAACGATTAAATGTTTGACATTTTGCACGATGCACATTTAGCTACAGGACATGGTGGAAAACATCGGAAAGTGAATGTAAGAAAAAGTACAAGAATATAACTCAAGATGTTATTAAGTTATATCTGCGCTTGTGTGAAGGGTGCCAAAAAAACTTAAATCTGCCAAAAAAGGACTTGTGGTTAAACCGATGGGTTTTTGGGAGATGAACAGCCATTGTCAAGTGGACCTGATTGACATGCAATCACATCCAGATGGAGAATATAAATTTATCATGGTGTATCAGGACCATTTAACTAAGCTTGTCCAAATACGTGCGTTAACATCGAAAACGGCTGAGGAAGTAGCTAAGAGCCTGATAGACATATTTTGTATTTTCGGCGCCGCATCCATACTGCAATCGGACAACGGCCGTGAGTTCGCCAACCGTGTCATTGAAGAGTTACGTACAATGTTGATTGGCCTCAAAATAGTTCATGGCAAACCACGTCATAGTCAGTCACAAGGTAGCGTGGAAATAGCAAATCAAGATATACAAAATATGCTTATGACGTGGATGGATGATGAAAACTGCAGGCGATGGTCAGAAGGTATAAGATTTGTCCAGTTAATGAAAAATAGGGCATAATATGACGGGATAAAACTAGCTCCTTATGCTTTCATGTTTGGGCATGATATTAATGTCGGCCTATCCACATCAGCGTTTCCAAAAGAAGCTATTGAAAATCTACGAACCGACATTGGAACTCGAGAAAGTTGTGGAGGAATTTGGTGTAGGTGAAGAGCTTCAAGAAGAACAAAATGAAGACCAATCTATGGACAGTAACCCAGAAACAGATAACATGCTAGAAAATATTACTGAAGATGGAAATATGCAAAATATCAATAATAATTACAGAGAAAACGCTGGTAATATGGAAACTTCAGATAATCAGGGGAAATATTCAGGGTGTGACAAACCAAGTACATCAGGGAATATATGTTGTCAACTTTGTGCCAAAAAACATACGGTCAAACAGACTGGAGGCAAAACGAAATTTAGAAAACCAAGCAAAGAAAATGAAAGCTTGCCTAATTCAAAGTGTTCGCCATGTTCTGTTGGAGATACAGTGAGAGTGAAAATTCCAGACGTTGATAGAGGAAGGGGTGATTTTAGAAATATTCTCATGACAGTTATCGAAAAAACCGACGACGATTTTTATAAGCTAGCAAACAAGAGAGGAACTATCGAGGAGATGTTTTCCAGGAACCAATTTTCTGTGTGTAATGAGAAACTTGTAGATATGGAAAGTACATCACTGGAGAAGAAAAGTTTACGACAACTTGCAAACGAATAATCTCTTTTAGGAAGTCAAGTTTATAAACGATGCAACTGTAAAACTAAATGCATGACCAGTAAGTGTAAATGTAATGCTATTGGAAATCTTTGTAACTCAAAATGTCATAACTGCTTATCTTGTTTAAACAAACAGATTATAGTATCTTATACATTGTTAGGATACAGTTTCCGTGTAACATTTGATTTTTAAAATCTGTTCCTTCAATAAAATGTGTTTTTAAAACATTTATGGCGTTATTTTTTAACATTAATCACACGAAAGTGGATAGAACGCGGTTTACCCGGGTAAAGTCCGAAAAATTAACAATTTCAGTAATATTTTGGACTTTACCCATGTTGTCTGGGTATTGTGCAGTTTACCCGGGTAAACCTAAGTTCAATCATTATTCTAACTTTACCCGTAACATAGCTATTTCTACATATGTTACTCCATTTGGCCAAGGAAAAATGGATTTTTAGAATAGCGGCTGCGGGACTGCGCAGCGTGGGCAGACGCTTTGTGGAACCGACTTATTTATAGACCAGTCAGGTTATATCAAGTTTTACTATGCCCATATGGTAACGAACCATTTACTATCGACTTGCTGTGTTCAAAATAAGTATTCGGAACTCTTGGTGCGACCGACATTATTATCCAAATATTCGATTCATTCAGATGAACTAGTTTTCATCATTATTCAGAGCTGTATAATAAAATTACTATACCATACGCATGTTTTTACTGTAGAGAGGCAGACAACATGTGAATTAACATAATAGCTCTGTCGCTGACTATAATGGTTTTTATAAATGTGTTATAGATAGAAAAATTAGGAAAATTAAAAAAATAGCGTCAAGGAGGACTTTGCACTTCCTACGCCATCCCTCATCAGATTCAGTTCACAACAAGTTAAGCCGTCTGAGAGAAAACTTAGTTACAAACATGTAAAATAGAGAAATGAATTGAATCATGTCAGTCAAACAGGCCTATACAGGTAGAATATAGCCATTCTTTCACTGCCCTACTGGTAGCTACTGTCCATCTGGCATCGATGCTCTTTCCTATATCGTCAGATGAAGCAGTGCCTACCAAAACACCGCCGTAGTACGAGTAGACCCAACTAACAATTATCACTCCTATTAGAGTTGCAAGAACGATTATACAGTCTTCCTTACATAGCATTGTATGCTGTAAGAACCTTGGCGAAACGCTCTTAGAACAGCTATACAGGTACAAGCGGAATGGGCACACCTAATAGGACACTTCAGTCATTTAAGAGGTTGTATAAGGGCTGCAGGTAACAGTTATACAACAAAAGTGTAAACCTCTTGCAGCCGCTATAGAACATTTGCGTCAGTGCACGATTCAGTTTTTGTCAACTATACAACTATTCTGTTACATGATTCTACTTTATTGCAACCAACCTATTTCTTATGTATTGTATAGACGAAGTGAAGAATATATAACTAACACATTACAGTCATCTTGTTTACTTACATATCGGCCATTGTGAATTTCATACACTATGATATAGGGCTATTGAATTACTTGCGCAGCAAATTTTATTGTGATTATCGTGCAAAGTAGTTACGCAATTTGTACGGGCTTCGTATTTGATTCATATTTTAATAATAAAGTATGTTTAGATTTTTAAGATGGGGGAAGTTTACGATGAGTGAAATACATTAATAATAATAGTCAAGAACTGTATTGAAGCAAATTGGAGAGGCGAAGTTAGCCTCAGGGCTACTCTTACACTTAAGCCCACTGGTTAATAGGTACGTAAGCATATAAACATAAAAAAATTCAGATATACGGCTCCCTACTCCTCACCCTCTACCCACGTTTCTTTTCAAAAATAATCAGGTTCCTCAGAAACATAAAAAAAACGACGTTTGAACGATTTGTACTTTTTCCATTTTTGGCTGTTTTCTCCACCTCCACTGCACCGATTTTCAAAAACTACGAAGCCTTTTCGACCAACAGATAGATCTTCAGACCGACATATGCCCACTGAGTAACAGACCGGCAGACCGACAGACTTACATAGTGACAGACAGACCGTTAAAAAAATATAAAAACAGACATACCTCATTTTACTGTTAAGTTTGTAACCCGCCGCTTCTATGGTATTTGTGTAAGTATGAGAAACATTTTCGTTGAGCCCAAGAGAATCGAACATTTTTTGTCTAACTGTTGAAAATGTATCACAAAAGAAAGACTTTGAACCAACTCTTGTCACCTCATTGAAATGTCCAAAGTTGCACATAGGTACAAAATGGTGGATATCTTGTTTTTGTGGTACATAGAATCCCGGACTATTAATTACTAAATATTCTATTTATGTACATTATCGGTGGACGCAGATGGGCATCATCCGAAGAAGAAGACCTCAATCATCCTCAAGGGCGCCGCGGAGTATCGATTAATAATGACGTAATTTTTCCTTAAACGCGTGACAGGTGCCGCATTGTTGCTGAAAAGGTCCAATTAGTAAACAGCCGTGTTCATCGTCTGCCGCCTGGACCGCCGGTACGTCAGGTTTTAGACCGGGAAGCAGTTAAAAAAACTGTTACATTCACATCCTTTGATAAGGGATGCGGTGAAGAAGATGAGAAGACCTAGATTAACACTTCTTCAATAATCTGAATATGACCAGCTAAAACTATGATTTATCCTTTATTTCTCTACATTGGCCGCTTTTTTTA